TTCCGATCTCATCCTCCCAACGTGAATCGCGTACTTCAAGTTTAATCCCAAAGTTCCCAAACGCACACAGACATCCATCCGAGGAAAGGACGATAGAGAAAAACGTGACGTGAGAAACCAGCTCGGCCTGCTGGAGACTGAAATGAAAGAGGGAAAAGAGCAGCAAGCTTGTTTACCAATAATAAAGTTCAAGCCGGCGCAAAGGAAGACAAAGTGTCTTTTCTCGCGGTACGGATGGAAACTCCAGAAACGCGAACTCTCCTACACACACACATACATGGGATGATCGCAACCGTGGTGAATGGAGTGAATGAAACGGAGATACAAATGCGGATCATTTTCGAAGCCCATGACGTTTCTCAAAGTGATAAGACACACGATAGGCGCCTGATATCCCTCTCGCATCGTATTTTTCTTTCTAATATGCCAATGTCGAAGATGTATTCGCGATTCGTTTCTATATTTGTTGTAATAAATATTTTTACCTCAAATAAATATCTTTTAGTTATTATAAGAAGACCCTGTTCTTCTGATTGAAAATTTTTGTCATAATTTTTTATAGAAGAGATAATGATGTTTATATTCTCCTATTTATTTCACAGAATTTATTTCCGCGATATTTAACTTAATTTTCTCCGTGATTAGATTGAAAATTTGTTTCAACAATTTAACTTTGTATTGAGTTAGTGTTCGCACAATTTTCACAACTCCCCTTGCAATCGAATTAAGTAAAAGTTACCGGACGTGGACGCGTAAGTCGCGAGACTCCTGCGTATAATTTTCCCCGCTTCAAAGATCCAAGACGCGGGTCCTCAAGATACCTTAGAAAATTGAGAATAAACTTGAGCGTATGTCATAAGCCAAAAAGAGCTCGCGGACTCTTAATATGTGTACGAGAAATTGAAAATGTACTCCAACGCGATATCGTTTATATGGGAACGGCAGATTTTCCAGCCTCCATCTCCGTCTCTGTCGCGAAATCCCGAAGAAGATCTTCGCGAAAAGCAGCATCATTTATATCCGAGGGACTCGGTACCTTCGGTCCGTCTTGCCAGTAAGATAAATTGCCATTCTGGTCGCACGATAAACGAACCATCCACCCACCGACACTCTCTCTCTAGGAGAGAGGGACGATCCTCGTCTCCCAAGAAGCGAATAGAGACATACGCGCTATTTCGTTGGGCGGAATCGTTGCAAAACGCCGAAGACATATAAGTCCACTCCATCAAGCGTCAAGCTCTCCGAAGCTTATCAAACTTCTGAAGGCGGTTTCGTAATATCGCCGTCCCTCACCGCATAGCATCGATCTTCCACGAGCCGATTCAACGGACCGGAAATTAAGCTCGCCACGAGATATTTTTTTTTAGGCCAAGTTCGCGCAACTTTTATCAGCAAAGTATTTTCGATATCGGCGAATCTTTCCGTAAATATTAATCGCGGTCAAGTTTGAGGTTTGACTTGTTTTCCCGACTCTTCCTAAAGAATCTGTTAGACGGCAACTAGAAAATGTTGTTAATGAATGCCAGAAGTATTATAACTTGCGTACGCTTTTACTCCCTTTTAGCTTTCAGAACTTTAGAAAATATATGAAAGATTAAAAGCTCTCGCTCTTTCTATGGAAAAGAGAGTCCATCTAAAACTCCGAAACTCCTGCTTCCCTCCAAGCTAGAAAAATAATTTGCAACGACTGCTTCTCGAATCGCTGCTTACCAGTCGGCAGGCCATCCATCATCTCTCTCGGAGACGCTGTTGCATCAATTTCTATTAGGAAGACGTGCGAGAGCGAAGGGACGAACGCGAGTCGAATATACGCAAGCGGGGAGAAAAGTTTTTTCGACAAAAGTCAGAGGAAATCACAGGGAAGACAGATGCGTCACTAGAGAAGGTGAGTTTCCACAGGAAGAGATTGTTCTCTCATCTTAGAATTAATATAAGATTAATAGAGAGACAGAGAGAGAGAGAGAATGTGTGTGTGTTTTGGAACATATCTCGGATATTGAATTTAATACAAGGAATTTTTATATTTGTGGTAGAGAATTTTTTCTATGGAAAATCTCCAAATCATTATCTGTTACAATCTTTTAACATTCAATATTCACGTTAGATAATATTATTTTTATTCACAAATTTTGAGATATATATATTTTTTTTGAACATTGCGAAAAGGAAAAATGTTCTTGGCAGGATGTCAAAAATAATTGATAAACAGATATGAATAGACAAACTTTCGTTATTTATCATTTTATTTTAATCAATAATCAAATAATTGTGAATCCAACTGTCATGAATTTAAAAAAAATGATGAAAAGAGAAAATTACGCATTCTAACTGGGGTACAATAATGATTTTATTTCAGATGAGAAATTTATCTTTTCAAAACCGTATTGCTTGACATATTTTTTATTAAAAATGCACAGAACTTATTTAAACCGAGAAGAACTTTGAAATCAAAGATCAAATCCGAGTTACGAGCTAATTGAGGATATCGATTTCATCGACGAAGCGAATGAGAAAAATCATCGTGAGCTCTAACTAACAGCCGGCGCGTAACGTTACCGATATCATTAATATTTATCGGAGCGATTTTATTATAAACCCCATTTCGCCTAAACGTCTGTGCTCCGAGAGGCGGATATCGCCTCCGTTATCCGAGCACGAGACTTTGCTGAGAAAACGATATAAAATTTTACTGCTTTACCGTTATAATGAAAGTCAGAGATGAGATACCTCGAGGACTTGAGCGATAAATGTAAAATTACAGCATCGCGCTTTCATGTTTAACATAATGCGCAACATGGTTTTAATGTATCGTACGAATGTAATTAATTAATCAGAGAACTTTGACATAATTTGGATATTATATATAGAATGAATTTAAGTTAATACTTTCAGAAAAAATTCTATTAAAAAAGAAACAAAAAGTAGACATTTTTTTCTCGAATTATTACTTTTTATTTAAATATAATGAGATATTATTTTTTCTACATTTTGTGGAATTTTTACATGTTAAATATCGTAGTAGTAACCTCTCGTTGAAAGTCAGTTAATGTAAAGCATATGTAGAATTGAATTAATAATAACGCTTTATTATAATTACTTCCCCGTTCATAAAGCGTAATAAAAGTCCGTTAACTTTTAATATAAAAAGAATGTCTAATTTAGATCACGATTTCAAAATTAAAAAGTCATTTTAACATTTGATAAAAAATTGTAACTGCTATATATATTATTACACCGAAAGCGCCTGAATGATGGCAACACATGCAGTTATGCAATCATAGAAAACCAACATATTTGTGATTTCGATGCTATTATTATCGATGATCACTATCATTTTAAAGAAGACAAATTTCTCGGCAACAAGTTTTTATTCACATTCATACTGTATTTATATATTTTATATATTATTTGTATTGTGTAAAAATATAAAAATTATTAGCCTCTCGTTTTTCAAACATTATCGATTTTTATCATTTTTTTTTGTGAAGAAAAAATCAATTTATCATTCATTTCCGTCATACAAAATTTAGTTGTAATTATAATAAAGAAATATTAATATCATCAATGACGGACAGTAAAATATGCATCTCTTTGTCTTTTGCGTATGTCTCTTCACATGACGTCATATGAGAATTCAATGTATGGTCAAGGTCTTACGTATTTTTCAGATCCAATCGACAATATTTCTGAATAATAACAATATTAACGATCGTGCAAACACGTGTGATACCGCGTAGTTACTTGAAGTATGAAGTATCTCCGCAGAAAATTTTATGCAAATTACGCAAATATAGACAGAATGACGTGTACTTTTCACGTTTTTACGTAATAAAACTTTTAGCCTGGATCTATAATAGGTGTAGGAAGTCTCAAGCCATAAAAAATTGATCAATCACAGTCAAATGTAAGGAGAATAATCAATTGTTATTAGTAATTTTTTTTTACGGCTTAAGTCTTACTATATCTATTGTAGATCCGGCCTTGCCCGACTTGTTAAAGGCCAGATAAATTTATAATTGAGGTTCAAGTACAGACATATTCGCGTTTTGTATAAAAGTGGAAAAAACCTAAAATTTACGGCGATTTTCTACCGGTTATTACTAATAACTCCCGCATGCATGTCTCACGTATGCATCAACATGAGCTGTAAAATCGCGTGCCCGCTCACAGACGATTGACCTCCGAGCGATACATGGCCATTTGGAGCAGCCTAATTTCCATTTATTACGCAATTGATGCAATTAGACACGTCAATCGCGGGATAATAGGCGAGACGCGCCCAATCGCGACTGCATGAAATAAAGCTCGCTTCGCGCGTATAAAGTCAAGAAGAAGAAGATGAAAGTGTTCGCATGGGACAGACTGCATTATTAATATGAACCGAGATTCTAACTATGTATTTTACATATAACCTCGCGCTTAAACGTCACATAAGTGTATAGTATATCATTACTGAAACGCAGCAAAACAAATGCAGAAGAATTTATTAACATATCTTAGCGTTGACATATCTTAATTCTAAACAAAAGACAGAGTCTTTGTTTTTATAACTTGTGTCATTCATGAAAGCGACCATAAAAAGATATAAGATACAAAGAAACTTTTAAAATTTTTAAGAGAATGTAATAAATAAAATGTTACGTAATAAGGTGACATCTTGTAGATGTAATATTTGGAATATTTTCTTTTTGCCATAATTTAAATGTAATTTTTGGTATTTGACTTACCAGAGATTTTTGTAACTCAATTTCTATTTCAATTTCAATTCGAGACTCTCTTAAAGTTTGCTTATCACCTCTGACACTATACCTGAAAAAAATGCAACTTCATTTTTAGTGTTTAAATTTTCAATTATGCATACGATAAAATCATAAATAGTAATAAGAAAGAAATAAATTTTACAGTTTTAAAAGAAGATTACATCACAACTGGAAGCGTTGTGTTTTTATCTTATTGAGTATCATTTTTACTTTACATTTAAATTTCTTTGCGATTTAACTTTTGCGGTACTTTAGTTTCATATTCTTCAATTATACAGCAAAATTCGCTTCTCGATTTAAGTCGAGGTTAAAAATTCATATAAATCTATTACATAAATTAAGCCTTACAAATCGTCGTAAATTTCGCCTCCTTGATTCACTTATCTTCGCAAGGACGAAGATTTCGAATTCGGACGAATATAATCTGCAATTTACAAATACGTTATGTAAATGTTATGCTTTTCCCCTCTATACGTTCGAAATTTCAATTATGCATGCGATCGAATCGTAAATTAGTTTTGCACAAGCGTACATAGATACACGCGTGACCGAGATACGTACTGTTATATCAGAGTGCTCATCCCCGGCGCTACTTTCTCGCGCGCGTGTTCCACGGTTTTTTTTATGTATTTTCGTATACCTTTTTCTTTTTGATTTCGGCCACGTGCGCGCCGCTCTCGCTCACCTGCGATTGGCTCGTGGCCGGGGGCTCGACGCGCGAAGGGCTCCCGCGTCCGTTTAAAAATAAATTAACGCCCGTGCGAGAGCGTGAATTGCAAATCGGCGCCAGTACACTCCGAGGATCGAAGCGAGCGACGTGACGAGACTTTTATCGCTTCGACGACTCTATCTGCACGAATATGTATGCAGAATAAATAAGCGCGCGCGCACGCCGGCTACGTGTATAACGGATAACGCCGTCGTCGTCCCCGTCCTTGTCGCGCACGTTGCGATCATGATGTTCTCGCTCGTTTTTCTCCTCGCTAGGATTTTCACGGAACACTCGAATTACGTGAGAGAGATGACGCGTGTTCGACACGTGCGAGTGCAGCGAATCGCGTAAAAGCGCATCGCGTAATCGATCCCCCAGTTTAGCGATGCTGGCCGCGTGTAACCTCTAAATACGCCGCAGAAAAAGAGCGCTGAACATAACCTACAATAATCTACGTACCTCACGTACGTAATGTAGTTCTTTTTCCTTTCTTTTTTTTTTTTATCATTCGTCGGTTCTCGTATTTGCGCCCCTCGTTTTCACCCCTTATTCTTATTCGTTCCCTTTGATTGTTCTTCGCGGCTCGTAAAGCGGATAAAAAAAATAAATAAATAAAAAAAGGGGACCAAAGTGCGCGCCGTCGACGGCAATTCGCGAGTGGGATCCACGGTCGACATTTATCTAACTTTACCGCAGATCTTCATCGATCTTCTTCTTCCTGGATAGCACGAAACGAAGTCGACGATGAAGCGAGATAGTTAGGAGATGCTGTAAGTCGACGCCTGTAACGTAACACCCGTACGGAGAATGTACGTGTATCTCTTTACCACGTTATCGCTATCGTTATTTAAACCAGCGTTCGGTCGACGGCGTCATCAAGTCCGGCGCGATTTACGTCCGTTGCGTAATGACAGCGATAATCGAAAAAAAAAAAAAAAACACGCGCATCTTCATCTATTTTTGCTTTGTTTTCCCGAAAACTTTATCCTCATTAACGCGCCGCAACAATATCGTGTGTGTCACGCTTGTGTCATCTCGAGATATGAAACGCTATTATTGTATGTTGCCAGGTCAGTTACAAACGGTACGGTCGCCTATAAACGGTGGATTATGTCGCACAGGAGACAGACTTAGGTAAAATGTCTCGCAGTTTGCCAGACAGGGTGGCCGGGCTCTACTATGCCCACGGCCTATTCTGCTCCTCTCATCCCGTCATCATACTCTCGCTCGCAATCTCGGTTTTGCTATTTTGCTGGTGAGTCATTCACAACTTTGATGTCGATTTATTTATTCCTCGAATCTGGAACAAGATTGAAACTTGCATTTTGTGTTGTCGCAGCTATCCACTTGTCAATCTGCCTATACCAGGCAACGCTCCGAAAACTGTAATAAACAATACCATCGTACCAGCGAACGATACAGAAACTTCAGTATTGTACGTTCAACAAGTAGTGTTAAGAATCGGAGTAATGCCATGGACTGAAGATCTGACGTTGATGGATGCCTTTCGAGGGCCTCTTTACGAAGTGTTCAATCTCTTGGAGATCATACAAAACTATCAACACCCAGAAACGTGAGTAAAGTACTTTTGTTACCTACTCAGGGAATTGAGAATCTGTACAAAATATTAACATATAAATAACAATACAAAAAAAAATAAGGCTAAAACATCTTTGTTTTTTTAGATTCAAGACACTTGGCCAAGTATGTTTGCATATCGAAGCAGCGAAAAGACGAAATGGCAAAAAAGCAGAAGTGTTGCCAGAATACAACTGTCTTGTTCTATCACCTGCAAATTTGTGGCAACAGAGTATAGAGTTGTTTGCTCAAGATACAAATCTCATTAATACGATATTTTCTTATCAGGTAAATATGGTATTGCAATATATAAAAAATTACTCTGTGTAAAGTAACCATATTCTCTTGTAAACAATTTATATTTAACGTTATATATCATGCAACGAATAAAAATCTTTTTCCATCCTGGTATTTTTATAATAAAGATAAGTCTAAGTTTGTTAATTTAGCCTTATCTTTATTATAAGAATTACCAGTCTTATCTTTACAATAAGAATACCAGGATGAAAAAAGATGTTTTAATTAGTCAACAAATTTAGTCTTATCTTTATTTTATGATAAAATTTCTTAATTTGTTCTCACCTTTCTATATTTATATCGCAGAATCTTCAAAGGGGTAAAATAAGTCTCGCAGAAGTAATGTTTGGAATGAGTTTGAAAGAAACGGGGATAAAGAGATATCCTGCTCGGATTCGTCAAAGAATTCTCCAATATGCTGTAACTATTTATTTGAAGAAATATGATGAAGAGTAAGTATTTATAATTTACGATTTTGACATATTAAAACTGTATACATTAATGTATATTAATGTACATTTTATTTAATTGTTTCCAGATTTATAAAAGGATTGCAGAATCGATTGAAAACTTATTATCATCTGCATCAAAATGTTAGCAACAATACGGACAATGATGAAATATTGAATATTTTCTACCCTGGTGAATTCAATTATAGTGAATTCTTCCCATTGATGATGACCTTCCTGGCCTTATTTTTCTACGAATATTTTCAAGTGCGGAAAATAGAACTTGTCAAGTCTAAACTGGGCATTGCGTTTAGTGCTACTGTGACAGTGATGGGCTCCCTATCTATGACAGTGGGTGTGTGTTTTTTCTTCGGTTTGACTTTGAGTATGAGCGCCAAAGAAGTGTTTCCGTATTTGGTGATTATTTTCGGCCTTGAAAACGTTCAAGTGTTGACAAAGAGTGTCGTCAGCACGCCCGCGCATCTGGACATGAAAATACGCGTCGCTCAAGCTCTATCGAAGGAGGGATGGTCTATTACGAAGAATCTACTCACGGAAGTAACGATTCTAACTATCGGACTATTCACTTTTGTTCCTGCTATTCAGGAATTTTGCATATTTGCCATCGTTGGACTATTGAGTGATTTTTTCCTACAAATGGTATTCTTCTCGACTATTCTTGCGCTTGATATCAGACGTACGGAGCTATCCAGCGAGAATTCCAAGTTTCACTTGTCGCACATCCCGCCATCACGCAGGACACAATTCACCACTACTATTACCAATAGAAAACCTCACATCTTCCGCTCCAAGTCTCATCCAAGATTGAATGGTTTATCCACTGGTCCGACGAACGTTATCGCTCCAAATACACAAAATACTCATACACTGGGCAAGATTCCCAAGCGTTTGAGATTGGTGCACATTTGGGCGCGAACGCGAATCTTCCAACGTGCATTTATGGTATGGATGGTCGTGTGGATCAGCATGACTATCAACAATTCCGGCATTATTGAGCATGTGATACACTTGAGTGAGACGCTAAAACCAGAAGCTGATATTGATGGATATACGATAGATAAACCTCAACCATTGAACTATGTTGAGCTAAATACAGTAACACCAATATCCGTGTCACCGACGACTATAGCACCAGATAATTTGAATGAACAGGTAAATTCTTTATCCTTTATGATATTATTCCTTGTTTCCATAATTGTCTATATAATTCAGAAAAAAATCTTTTTTTTTTTTCAGGACATAACTAATAATGCGACCGAAGAATTGAACAAGTTAAGACCAATGGATTTTCCGCCTTGGAATAGTTTATCATTGTACCATTGGTCCTCGATTCTTTCGATGTATAACGTGTCGATTGCTGGTGGACGAGTGACTATACTTCCGACAATAAAGCTATCGCATGCGGTGAATCCACAATTAGTGAAACAAATAAGCAATCCGAATGACGTTCAGCACTTCCAATGGCAGAGTCTTGCTACCGCCGCGCTCGATCCTTTGGATTTTTCCGGTTTGTAAATGAATATGAAATTAACCAGACACAACAAAATCGTCAATCACATGCCAGACACAACAAAACTTTAACACTTATCTTTATTTTCTAGATATGGAAGTACGGTCGAGATCGGAGGGACGCGTATTCAATACGGACGCGCCTTTTGTACCGTCGAGTCCGATGGAGATATTTTTGGCCGCTGTACTGTGCCTCATTAGCGTGATCGTGGTCGCTTACACGATGGTCGTACTCTATCGTTGTATCTGCTCCAGAAATTATGCCGAGTGGCGAGCTAGCTGGAATAAGCAAGAAAAGACGCATGATTCCGTTACTCAGCTAGTGTTGGAGGCAGTGCCCTTAGTTTTGGAAGGCCATATTCAGGAAGTGGAATGTATCGCGACGGACGGTAATACTATTGCTAGCACATGTCTAGCGGGACACATCAGGATATGGGACTCGACGTCTGGTGAAGAGCTGGCGCATATCGATAGACGGCAATTCTTCATCGGTCCTCAGAAAACTTTGAGTCAAACATCACCGGATGCTGACGAATTGATGTCAGATTATGAGAGCGGTGCGCAATCGATGGGACTTTACTCACCAGCTTCGACGATGTATCAAGGAAAGTTATTTCCCGCTTACAACGCGCAGAGAGTTGTTAATAATAACAATCACAAAAGGCGATCTATAGGAAACACGCTGGATTACGATTATCAGATCACTGAACTCGGTAGCGACACTAAGCAGAGGCTATTACGTCGAAGCTTAGACAGCGCTTATGATCTCCCCGATTTGAAACCGGCGATCAATATTAAATTTTCATCCATAAAATACACGCCTTTGCAAAAGAATTACGATCAAGGCTTCGACTTTGGCGAGCGATATAAAATTTTACTGAAGAAACATAATAAATCGATCGAGGAAATGCAAAAATCTGAAACTAGGGAACAGTTGAACGTACTCCCCGCGAGACCAACTAACTCAGTTGGCAGCACGACCTCCATAAATACAGATCGTACGATACAATTGTCGCATATCGCATCGGCGATTTGGTGTATGGATTATCAGGAAAATCTTATAGTGGTTGGATGCGCTAACGGCAGTCTAGAATTCTGGGAGGGTACGACCGGTAGATTTAAGGTGAGAATGAATAATTCGAAAAGCAACTGTATCTCATAGATAAAGATTAATAAATTACATTTTTCTCCTTAATTCACAGTGTCTCTTCGATGACGGATCGGGACTTGGAATTTCTGCAGTTAAACTCGTCGGTAGTAGAGTAGTAGCAGCTAAGTTGAACGGTACTGTCGATTTTCTGCAACTCGAGAGTTACAGCGAAGGCCAGCAGATTGATTGGGGCTTCACATCTTATAGAAGAAGTAAGTAGACATTAAAATGTGGCAGATTTCGTTTCTACATTATATATGATATTACATGATATTACTTATATTACAAATAAAATGCTCATTTCTTTATTGAAATAAATTCTTTTATATTCTAATTAACTTTTTTGTTATTTTAGCACATGTGCGAACAGGCAGCGCTGGTTCACCCATGGACCTAAATAACAGTATGCATACGGAGGAAGATCTACGCTGCATGAAAATTGGCTCTCATAGAGCGCATCAACAAGCGATCACCGTCCTGGACAGCGAAGGCGGACGTGTATTAACGGGTAGCCAGGATCATACCTTGAAAGTATACAGGTATACGAATTCGAATTCGATCAAGTTTTTTTCCTTTTTTCAATTGTCCGCATGTAATTATATTTTTCTTATCTAGGTTAGAGGATCAACTGCCTCTGTATACGCTTCACGGACATTGCGGTCCGATATCATGTCTATTTATCGATAGACTCAGTCCCATGACATCCGGTAGTGGGTCTCAGGATGGATTACTGTGTGTATGGGATCTTTTGACAGGTAATGTCATTAGTATCAATAAATATAAAATTCACAATTTATTAAAAATTACAATTTATCATAATTTCTGTATTTTTCTTTCACGATTTTTTTTGTTTTGTTCTTGTTGCAGGAACATGCATGTATAGTATTCAAGCTCATGATGGTGCTGTAGCTGCTATTACATGTTCGGTATCGTATGTGATAAGTATTGGAACAGATGAAAGATTATGTGTCTGGGAGCGTTTTCAAGGGCACTTACTACATACTTTGCCAGCACATAAAGCAGCTTACAGTTTACAATTAGTGATGCTGACACATCATCTCCTCATAATTAGTAATCAGGTAATATTCTTTCGAATGCTTATTATGCTTTTGTGATCGCTAAACTATAAATCTCAATCTGAATCTGAATTATTGATATTCCAGGGATCATTAGTAGTCTGGGACGTAAGGACGGGTGAGCCTGTGCGAGAAGTGAGATTGGGTCATAAAGACAGTTGCATTTTCGTAAAACAGATGTTGGCTTTGAGGGATAGCGTGGTTTGCGATTACGGCCGGCAATTAAGAATAGTCAGATTTCCGTTGGTCTCTGATAAGCTCGACTAAATTCTCTGTATACGCGCGTGTACATAGCCATTTTTCTTTACCTAGCGTTATTCAAAGAAAGTGTCTTATGTTATTTAGTCTTTAGCTTTTAGAAACTTGTAGATTTTTATACAACATATATCGTGATATTCTAAAAAGCGATGTATATTTTCGATGTAAGTTTATGTTCTCTGACTACACACTGTGGCCATTTTAGAGTGCACAACTTTCATATAATCGCGATACACATGCTTACAGAAATATATTTTTTATCCGATAAAACACATTATATAATCACATTTTTTTTTATTTTTATGCCGAATCGTTGATGCTGATAACATTAATGACTTCTATAAACACCAATTGAGAAGATTAAAGAAATGAAGATTGTATAGTTACACATAAAATGTTGTATATATTTTATATTTAGAATTCTTTTTATTTAATTAAATTAAATGATTCAGAATTTTATGCTCGATTACAAGCTCTTGAGTCAAACGTAATATCTCTTCATTCTAGTATTTTATAACATGCATAGTGGCTGTGCTTCATTTTGGAATGCCTATTAGCTTTTATTCTGTAATATAAAAGCGCTTCATATTCTCTATTTAAATCCTTTTTATGTTTTTACGATATATAACATCGTGATAACATACATGCATTTGTAAAACCAGTGTTATTCTTTAATGCATAGATATAAGACATTCTACTTATGACTCGATAACGATTATGACATAACTAAATATCAGCGACAAATAATTGTAAGTTTCTGTGACATTTTGAATATTCCTACTCGCTTTAATGATGGAATATGGATTTTGAAATCGCACGGGAATTAATCGAATGATTTTTTTTGAATTGTCGAATAATGTAATAACATTACATTCAACGACTATAACTGCAAGTAAACCAAAACTTAAATCTGAGTCCTCGTAAATGAATATAAATATTATTGTATGGATGAAAATGAAATAACCATTGTTACACATCAAAGTTTTAAAAGTGCCTTTATCGTATTCGTCATTTTCATCTTTACGAAGAAAAATTGAATAATTCACTAAAATAAAAATAAATAATTAATATGATAAAAAAAGAGATAAATCTCTGTATATTTATTATTATATAAAATATATTAATTATGTAAAAATTAAACTTATTTAATTTAATTTGATATATAATTAAATTTATTTAATTAAAGAGATTTTGATGTGATTCTGATACCCAAATTGTTTTAAAAATTTAGAAAGATTATAACCATGATGTTATTTAAAGTTGGTTGGTGCTATCGTTTATGATTAAGTTATTTCAAGGGGCTGGAGTTACATGAATATATTAATTACACATATGGGTTATTTGTGAATATATTTTCAATTGATTCCATCAATTGGATATTTATTTATTGTCATCGCACTACATTTTTGCGTTTTACACAATTGTAAACACAATTTTTTAAAGGGGAAGAGTTTAAGCAAAATGACATTGATTTCTAATTTATCCAACTATGTTTATATGTGTTACAGTAGTAATGTGTTATTACGTCCACGTATAGGTACATGAAAAAAGGATCTGCTTCTTTACTTGCTTTACTTAATATGGCAGCTGATTTGTAAGAGATGCGTATATAATGTTACATAAACAAACATAGTTCTTTGAGGGAGTACATGCCGTTCCGAGTTGCTATATATTATTTTCTTGCGAATAAGCGGACTTGGAAGAATATAATAGATTGTGCTTGTCTTTAATCTGTATATATAGAGGGATAATCAACTTTATTAAGGTAAATGCGTGTACATCGATCTTCTTTCTCGACAGGATGCAATGCTCTCATAGTCAAACATAGATGAATGGAAATTAACTCGAGAATATTGGCGTATTGGATAATAATGCGAACATCGCATTGTAGAGATGTCTTTCTTGATTTTGTTTATATTAAAAAATATATTTGTTATAGGTTTGTTCTCTCTTTTTTTAACTGAACTGAAACGGAACAAAATTGAAGAAGACGGATATATATTTAGAACTTGAAAAGAGAAAGAGAGAAAAAAACGAAAAGTGCAAGAAATTCAGTAAAATTCAATAAAAAGAATAAGTATACACTAAAAAGATATATAATTAGCAAAACAATATTCTTTTACAATACGAATCAAACTATCCGTACGCCACACTTCTCGCAAGTTAATAAAATTTTAGACTGATTGTACTCAATATATGGCATTTTTTTTTTAATAAATATTTAATTTTTAAATGTTTTCTATGCGCGAAAGCGCATCTGTAATCGACGAGAGAAGGAAAAATAGCAATATAGATATATATTTTTCCTAAGCAACTTTATATCGCAAGCATTACTGCAAGACTCAACTCTATACTGGTAAAAAATAAACGAACAAAAAGAAGATATACAGGATGTCCGATAAATCGTGGTGAGAGAGTCGACTTCCCGTGAAAAAAAAAAAAAAACAAATAACAGAAATATAAAATAAATATTTTGATATAATCTTCGAGAGAGAGAAAATTAGTCTTGAATATATGTATATATATAAATGCGTGTTTCTATATTTTTGATTGTAATATTGTGCGCGCTGATTACGATACAGTTCTTAGTAAAAATTAGCGATTGAGACATCAATTGTCACGAGTCGCCAACGATTTATTGATCATCCCGTATTATAATAAAATGTGCTCCTAGTAACAACTGTTGACTCGCTAATGATTAAAAATCTGTGCGTGCGACTTTTATATTTATTTAGTTAATTTAATACAAATTTTCATGCCGATCATATGCAGAATATATTGTTCTTAATAAATTGTCATATTTAATGTATGCTAGATACTCGTTTTATTTGTCTCATCATATTGTTACAGATCTTTGCCGAGATGATCTGTCATCGCCCGTAATCTTGAGATTCTTTCAAGAGTTCCTGGTATCGCATATTGTTAATAGCATGCTAAAAGGAAAAGTACGTGCTGTAATATGAAAAATAATTAATAATGATCTCTTAAGATCTTTTTAAAATAAACTTTCCCCTTTGATTAATATGCACCCACTATCCGGATGATTATAATGTATAGTAACTAATATGTTAATATTTTTAAGTATATTATTACGATCTGGAGTTGATACAATACGAATCTTATAAGTATCTTTAATTTATCAACAAATGCATTCTCTTTTACATAAGTGCAACAGCGATTAAAGTCTCGTCAACTGTGTGTTCAAAGAAAGAGGGAGAGATGAATTATTTATATATATATATTTTTTTTTTAATAAGAGAACTGATAATATTAACGTACGACATAACCAGCATTAAGCGGGATAAAAAATCGTCGTATTTTTCGTTCTCGACTGATATTTAATAAAAAAAAAACTAGGCTTTTAAAAAAAAATGAATTTATATATAGAAACCTTACGACATTGTTAAACTATGATTAATTATGCAAACTTTATGCGTGATCTTATATCAGTCAATGACGCTGTTGCTGCTTGATATTATATAAATCAGCGATCTTAATCGCTTCTCGAAATGAAAAAAATTGATGCTATTAACAATATGAGTTAAGAGTTCGATGACATCTGAAATAACAGCGATGTAATCTGCGACTAGACAATATGTATGATGATAATGTAACCAACAATTAACATAATCTTTAATACCTGGTCTCTTTCCTTATTATACGTTTGTGAACAAAATTATGCGCCAAGCACTAAGGCTCTTGTAAAATAAATGATTTATGATTAATATCTGTTCTCTAAGGAATAATATTTTTTTTTCTTATTACAGTAATGTGTAAGCATCAGATAAACGGTAAAAGAAGCATTTTCGTCAGTTTCGTATTTCGGTTACCATAAACACTGAAAAATGATCTTTATGTTTATTCGCGACAATAAAAATATATTTGAAGCACATTGCATTGAAAATTGATCTCACTGAAATGAATGTCGATTACACAAACTATACCTGACGGATATAAAATAAACAATTATTTAAAAAAATGAAAAAAACAGTAACATATATTCACAAGTTATTAATCATATATGTGAAATGAAAAGACAACAGAAGTAATGATCGAACAAAGCTAATGAAGAACAGAAGTAATGATTAAAAACTATTTAATTGTAATCGATTTTTTATTAATGCCAAAATAAGACAAAAATATTTCCTAGAAGAATTTTCAAACATAGCGTCAGAAACACACACAAATTGCGGAGAATAGTACAATGTGGGACACGCAGCGGCACATTATTATCGTTTCGTAACGCTACCAACGTTCCAATACGTTATCCATCACTTTTCAATGATTATAGTAATGAGAAGATACACACACACATACATTGCTTATAACTTCTCTTTAGAAAAGAATATTCGAGGAAAGGAGAAAATGCATTAAGTTCATCTATTTAAAAACAGAACTATTTTTTTATTTCCACTGTTCAAAGCTGTAAGATTCGAGATAATTATTTCTTATCTATGTTATATATGCAGGCTATACATTCATATTTTCTATTTTTTGCATGCATATCTAATAATATTTGACCTTTAATATTCATAAACATAAATATGAAATAAGTAATTAGTACAATTAATAAAAGAAATTAATTTTGCAGAGAACTTCTTCGCAAAAAACACAAAATTATAAAATTAAGTAGAATTTATCGACATGCCATTGCAGGATGTGATAATGTCAAAAGTGGTCTTGGAAGATTTTTGATTATGTTTAAGTATCATTGTTAACTCTTATTTAAGATAACGTTTTAGTATCAACTAGACAAGTTGACATTCGTGTGACATTTGTGCATGAATAAAATTGTTGTTACGTGACAAATCATATAAAGAAAAAAATTCTGCATTTTAGGCAATTTAAAAATTCAATTTAAAACAAAAGAGAAGTTACTCATACATAATGAAAGTTATTTGAGAATTCGTTACCGCAAGGTGTTACAAGCCGCATACAAAAATATACTTGCTGATTATTACGTTAAAATTCAAATATTAGTTGTATCTAAAAAAAAATCTTTAATGTTATACGGTTACATAATTATAATAATATAATAATTATAT